CCATTTTTGTATCCCAACAGCACTGATGGGCGGACAATGACCGCGCTTGCGGAATTCAAAACCACATCCCATTTATAAAATCTAAAGGGTTATTGACCAGCACTCTAGTTCATAAAATAGAGCAGGTATTGGCGACAAAGGAGAGGCTCGATTTTAGCAGTTTCCTGCTAAAACTGGCGTAATCAGCCACAAATGGTTTTTACCGTCAATCGCGCAGACACAAATGGGGCGGAACTCTTAAACATGAACTCCTGTTTAAGTGTTTCTGTACACCCTAGAAGGCCAGAGCAAGTGTTGAGCATTGACTTACTTGAGATGCACAAATTGCAGAATAAAAGTATCTCTTTCACTTTGTAAAGAACGTTGCTTAATTAGAGTATCCCATTGCGACAGAAACGGGTCACCTTCCCCTCGTCAACCGCAAAGGCGCTGAGCAGTTTTCATCAGCCATTTACCGTCATCTCCTATTGCGGTCACTCACCGGTCCCCTTTGCGGCAGCTTTAGCGCGTACATCTGCGCTTCCCCGGTATTCACCCCTCTTGCAGTGCAATTCGACGCGTGTCTTCTCCCGTCTGCCACCTCCCGGTTCGCTATTAGCCTCATACTCACCAAGTTACAGCCAGATCAAATCTGTATACCCACATGGCACGGTCGAGCGATACCAAGCAGGCTCTACTGCTGAACCCGGAGTTCTGGACGCCCAAGCAGCTCGAAGAGTGGCTTAAACGTTTCGAGGACGGTCGATATGCGCGCTTTGTTGGCCCTTTAAAGGGCCGCAAAGGGGCAGAGGTCGTGCGCTTTACGGCCGCCGACTGGGCAAAACTTAACCCGCCGGACCTGGCTACGAGCCTCCGCTTCACGCTGTTGGGCATGGTACAAGTGGCTACGAACGACGATACGCTGGCCATCGTGACGGACTTTGTGCCGCTCGCTAGTTCGCCCGGAAAAGTCAAACGGGAATCGCCCCAAAAGACGGTGCCAGTCAAGTTCCCGCCGATGGTGGAGCTTCCCTCAGTTCCGGTGTTGATCTGTACCGTGCTCTTTGTTATTCTAACAATTCTTTGCTTCACGGTTCTGCGTGGGCCTCTCGCTGATATCGGCATTGACTCGGAGAATCTTGTGAAATATGGATCCATCCCGCTCGTCAGTGTGGTGTTCACGTACTTCCACATTTGGGTGGCTCTGTGGATGACCTTCTACCCGCTCGAGTACACAGGCTGCTTGCAGATTCCAGACACTAATACGGGCTTCGGATGGCAAGGAATCGTCCCGAACAAGGGAGAAAAAATGGCTCGACAGGCTGTGCAGATCATGACGCATCAGCTTCTGCAGGTGTCAGAAGTGTTCGCGAAGATTGAACCAGCACAGGTGGTTAAGGAACTGGAGCCTATTCTGTTCAACACAATTCATACGGTCGTGGAAGACATGGCACTGAAGTACAGTCCCGAGCTGTGGGCTGTACTGCCGACTAAGGTGAAGGAGGAGATTGTCGAGAAGGTGAAGGAAGAATCACCCGCTCACATTGAGGCACTTATGGACGAGATCCGCAACAATATTGAAGATGTATTCGACTTGGAAGACATGGTAGTGACCAATATGTGCAAGGACAAGCAGCTTCTCGTCAACATGTTCGTCACCTGCGGTTACTCGGAGCTGGCCTTCATCCGTAACTCAGGTGCGTACATGGGAGGAATCTTTGGTCTCATGCAGATGGGTATCTGGTTCGTGTACTCGGACCGCATCGTGGTGTTCCCGGTCATTGGCTTACTGGTTGGTACTATCACCAACTGGCTTGCTCTCAAGATGATCTTTGAGCCGGTGAACCCCAAGCGATACTGCGGTATCACGTTCCACGGTCTATTCCTCCGTCGTCAAAATGAAGTTGCCGAGGTTTACGGAAAGATGGTTGCTCGTGACGTTCTGAACTCACGCAACATTTTCGAGGCCATTCTGAAGGGCCCGTACTCTGATCGCCTCTTTGAGCTTGTGTACGACAACGTCCAAGAAGCAGTCAACGCTGCCACTGAAACTACGCAAAAGATCATTAACTTCAGTATTGGTGAGGAGATGTACGCCAATATCAAGGAGGATGTCACCAACCACATCGTCGAAATCTTCCCGGACAGTCTGCGCCAGATCGAGAGCTACGCTACGGTCGCTATGGATTTGGAGGTTACACTCCGCGAGAAGATGAAGCTGCTGACTTCGGAGCAGTTCGAAAATCTGCTTCACCCCATCTTCGAGGAGGATGAGTGGAAACTCGTGGTAATGGGCGGCGTGCTAGGCGTTGCGATCGGCGTTGTCCAAGCTTTCCTGATCAATCACTAACAAGCCCCTTGTTTAAGTTAACGCATGGGTTCTGTCGTAGATGAAGGACCGTTCAGACCGACAAGTTGTGCGATGGCTAAAAGGTACTTTGATGCTTGAGATGGATAAATTATCAATTCACGTGTATTCATTTGATTTCGCTCTTTTTTTTTCTTCTTCCAAATTCAACTCGCAACTTGTGTCTTCTAGAGCTGAGTTTGGTCGACGCTGAACTGGCAAACAGGACAGACCTTGTTCAGAGACAGCCAAGAGTCGACACAGTCGGAATGATACGAGTGAAAGCACGGCAACGACTTGATCTCCTCGCCGACTTCGAAGCTGCAGCGGCAAATCAAGCAACTATGAACAGCGGAGATCAATGTTAGTAGATGCGTGTGACGACATGTTAGCGAGGTGCATATCACACGTACTCTGGATTTCCTTGGTCGTTGTGTTCTTTCGCCGTACTGAAGGTGTATGTTGGGAGCTGGCTTATCAACGAAGCAGATGCGCCACGGCTACAGTGAAAAGCGCAAGTTGGTCAGATATGTCTTGCTCATATGATATGAATAAGTTATCAACTTACCATTTCGTGGTGTGAGGACGACGGCCTTGCTGGTCTCGGGCAGGGGGAGGAGGCTCGTTAACCTCAGTCTCGATGCTCACTGCAAGGCACAAGAAAACTCAATAAGCGATGCCGTATCGTACACAACACTGCGCGGGGTGGTGCTTACCGATCCGATAGTCCAGACTTGGCTGAACGTCTGTCACTGGAATTCCTCTTACAAACTGCAACAAGGATGTCAGCATGTCAGTCATGAACGAGCTGTGTAAATGATACCAAATCATGTAAGTATATACGCACCTCGTCATCATAGTTATTTCCTGGGGTGTCTGCGATGACAATAACAACGACCATCAAGTCAGTAGTGCCATCAACTAGGCATAGCTCGCAGAACATACGTACCCAAATCAGTTTCGTACAAATGCTGCAGCCATCGTGCATATTCCTCGTCGAAAGGCATTATTCCTGTAGTCATCCCACGAAATGTAAGAACTCCAGTGTAAAACAAGAAAAACGAAATAAAAGACGTACCTGCGCCGATGTCGAATGAAGATGGCGCGTTCTCGTCCAACGACTCTTCACTTGCTCCCATCATGATCACTTTTTCGCGTATAGCATCAGGAAGCGCAAAGCGGAACAAGTGGCGTAACGGCAGTACTTTCGTTTGACCATGACCCGCATCCACCTGAAAGAGAAGATAGATGTCCACACGATTTCTGTGCGCCTTCCGAATCACATCAACTTTCTCTAATGTGAGGTCTCCGAACGGCGTTCGGACATCAGGCTGGCCCAGCAGGAACGTGACAGCACTTGGCCCATCGTATCGCAGAGCCTTCGCGCTGCTATCGCGTCGTTGCTGCTGAGAAAAGGAGCTGCTGACATGAGCTGCGTTACCGTTTGCAGCTACCGACGAAGCACCAGCGGATGTGATCTCGTCCATTTGTCTTATGGGCAACGGCGACTCCATTGCAGGGAACGCGCTTGCATCGTGCGCGTACAAGATGCGAACGGTGAACTGTTTGGGTAGTGAGAAAGTGGACGAAATGCAGTCGAAGTCGCCCTTTTCAAGGCTTAACGTGACAACCCCCTTATCGTCTTCCTTCAGTCCAGCTTCTCCCTCGACAACTTGTAACTCTAACAAAATACTGGCGTGTAGTCGGCACTCAAAAATCAACTCCCCTTGTCGTCCGAAAGGCAAATGGTACATTTTGAGCATGAGATCGCTGCAGTTTTTGAATTGTCTTCCCACCCGGAAAATGTGCATTCCACTGTGAAGATCCACATCACGAACTCCGTTCACCATGCTAGAAAAGAGAACGCCCTTCTCGTTTTGAATAACGAAATACGGTCGACAAATGTCCGCCAACGGCGACAACGCAGCAGGGGATGAACTAGCAGCGTCATCGGCACAGTCCGGGCCTGACAATAAATCAATCTGCCGGATGTAAATCGGTCGAGCGGCGGGAGTTACAGCGATACCCGTCAGTTTATGCTTTTTCTCCTCTAGAGCTGGCGAGTCGGCACACTCCGTAAGTTTCCTGTCACGCATCTCCAGCAACTTTCCAAAATCCGCAATGTATCGTGCTTGAGGTCGCGGTAATCCTCCGGTGTATGCTGCGTTTTTCGGGTCATTGCCACTAAATGTTCGCTGAAGCTTAGCTGGCCAGGTCTCTGCGAGTTTAATATGGTGTAGATACGCACTGAGCAGCTCGTTGCCAAAGTTTTCAGGGAATGACGACGCGTCGGTACAGTAGAGCGTGCAGCACGTTGCAAATACACTCATCTGCTCGTTGTTTGGAGCCAGCAAAATTGCAACATTTGATGGCTTCAGGTCCAGCCAGGCCGCCACCGTCGACGTAACCACGAAACCGGAATGCATCGACGGAATCGGCCCGCGGCAATATGAAATGGAAGCAATTCGTCCATCTGTCATAACAAACCATAAGTACAACGCAATACCTGTTAGCACTGCAAACTCTGCCAAATACTTTTATAACCAGTATACAACGTACCGCAAAACTCGTCGAACACCAGTGGCTTGTGGTGCATCCTCTTCACGCCATCAAATAGTCCACAGTCAAACACACACGCGCCGTCTTCAAACCTGTGGGACCAACATGCAATTATAATCAGATATTCGGGTGATTCCAGCTTGAAGAAATTCCGTACCTCTTCGACATCTGTAAGTCCAACTGCTCCAACACCTTCACTGCCGAGTTCCAATTGCGCGCCGATGAGTACGCACCTAAGAGTCGACTGAACGTCGTAATATGTGGTGGCGCCACGCAATAAACCCTTCAAACAATGACAAAAAACGCTTTAGTACCAACATTTCTCGTTGTCTTCTCGAATGTCACTAACCTCGGGGCAATTTGAATGAAACATCCGTCCTCGCTGGTCTTGGCGAACAGTGCATACTGTACTGCACTTTGCAGCGACGCCTGCAGCCTGTATGTCCATAGCAATACCCTATATGTGTTGGAAGCGGTGTTCTCGCTCTCCTGTTTGATGTCGTTTGCATCTTTTGCTGCCTCAATTGCCTCGAAGCTCTCTTGGGCGTCCAGCAGCAGCGACGGAGGCGGTGATGACACTGGCATCTTCTCCTCACTATCGCCATTTGCATTCTCTTCTGCAATCGCCTCCATGGCTGTCACCTCAGTGGGCGACGGAGGCAGTGATAGCTTGAGCAGAAAGCGACGCACGCGCGGATCTTCAGCGATGCGCTCCGAATTCATGCGGCGGATGAGCACGGAGCCGCGCTCCACCCACGCCAGGCTCTCGGGAAACTGCTGCTCGCTCATGAGCTGGTAGGTTGTTCTAGCGAGGTAAGTCCAAGTGAACTCCTACCGACGCTTTGAATAATGAAGGATAGAATGGGATAGAGCAGTTTGAAGTGGTGGAAGAGTTGTCTGATTATGTTGACGGTTCTCTTGGAATTAATAAGATTTCAGATAGGTTACGCTTTCGATAAATTTTACATTCTGAGTATTACGCTGGATAATGCACTCCTACAGCACCGGATGGAAGATCGGGAATTGTGGCGATGTAGAAGACGAGGTGCTCGTTCTGATTGTTGATGTGGGTGACGAAAGCAGTTCGATGACATCACCTCAACTCGGCACGAAAGAAGACCAAAGCAAAAAAAACATGAACTTATTACTAGATGCAGTCAAGAAGCTCATCATGCCATGCTATCTACTTGCGCGGAGGCGGAGCCACGTTCTGCGGCAAGGCCTTACCGTACCCGGAGCGGAATGTAGTGCCCATGCTGCCAGCATCGTCGTGCGTGGGCTTGTTGGAGGGCTTGGCCCACTCCAGCTTGAGGATCAGGTGGTCGTAACCGTAGCCCTGCAGCTTGTTCAGAGCCTTCTCGGCGTCCTCGCGGTACATGAAGCTGACGAAGGCGAAGCCACGAGACTGGAACGTCTCGCGGTCCTTGGCCAGGTACACGCGGGACACGGGACCGAAGGCGCGGAATAGCTCCTTAAGGTCATCCTCGCGCGTGTCGGGCGACACGTTGGTCACACGCAGCGTAGCGCTGTCATCGCGCGAGCTGTCGCCACCAGCGTCGCCTCCAGCTCCCGCACGGCCACGCAGACTAGGCGGTACGTACTTGCTGGAGCCAAAGGCGCCGTCCAGAGCGGAACCACGAGCGGCAGGCTCCGCGGATGCAGCAGCAGGGGCAGCGGCCTCGCCAGACTCGGCGCGCTTGGCCATGTCCTGCTCCAGTTCCTCCTTGGGTGTGTCCTTGTAAGGACACTTGAGCGTCCAGTGATCGCCCACCATGCCACAGTGGCGGCAGACCACAATGGACGAGTTCTTAACGCCAGCAAAGATGTTCTCCTCCTCCTTCTTCTCACCCGGCAACACCTGGTCAGCGTTGGGGTCCTCAAGCTTCACCTCCTCATACGACATGTAGGTGACGTTGCTTCCATCGCCATCGTCTAGCGCGTCACCAAATTTGGCCCATTTCTTGCGCTCGAGAGCACGCTTGCTGATGCGCTCCACCTCCGTCACTTTCTTAACCTTCTTGGTGACCTTGACCTTGTCGCCAGCCTCATTCACCTTCCACTCCACGATCTGACGTACGCCATTCGAGTCCGGCTCGCTCTCCACACGCTGCGGCAGCAGGTCGTCCTCCTCATCGCCCCATCGCATGCCCGAGATCGCCATGATGTCTGCAAGGAACCTTTAGAACTGAGGGGGTTGACTGTGGCGGCCAGTCATTGGTTGGCCTCGAATAAAGAATACCTTTTTATCCGATAAACTCGTCTCGATAAAGCACAGATTTGTGTCACAAAACCCCATCAAAACTGATACATTCTTGTGGTTTTTATTAAAAAGTGTATCCATCCAGTTGTGTCCAGTTG